TCCCATATAAAGTTGTAGCTTTACTCTCCTCCGTATTAGGCAAGTCCACATGCCTTTTGCAGGGACTCTGAAGTTCTGCCTGTGGAGTTGTATGAGGTAGTGACATGGGATCCCAGGTCAGAGGTGCTTCTAACTGCCCATGGGGGCCTCATCTCCAGGAGATGTTACCTAAGACGTTACCGCTAAGATGTGGGGAAAATCGAATGGCTAATGGCTACCAGACAGCTGCATGAACTGACTGCTGCAGAATGCTTCAGATTCTCATCTAGCTTTTGCCCATGGATCTAAATGCTGAGTATGGCCTATAAGAGCCCATGGGAGTCCAAATTTACAGATGAACCCAAAAGAAAATCCTGGTGGATGCTGCAAATGGATACCTTTGAGGCTTAGATTAAGACAAACATCATATGTGGGGTGCATTCACCAGGTGTGATGGTGCATGCCTTTAATCCCTGCATTTGGGAAGCCTGGTATCCACAGAGGTCAACCAGGGTGACATAGTGAGACTGTGTCTCTGAAAAAGAAAAGAAAAAGAGAAAGTGGGGAGGGAGGGAGGGGAAGATGGGAGGGTGAGATGGAAGGTGTGAGGGAGGGAGGAAAGGCAGGAGGGAGGGAAGTAGGGAGGGAGGGAGGGGGAGAGAGAGTGAGAGAGGGAGGGAGGGAGGGAGGCTTGTAACATGGACATCTTTGCATGATATTGGTCTTTTATTATGAACATGTGATCTATTATTTGAAACAGAAATGGTTAGTGAAACAACAACAAAATCTCCATAAAAGGAGTTGTCTTCTGTCACAGCAGACTATTTTAGACTCTATGCCCCAGGAGAAAGCACTCCAGAAGGGAATGGAAAAAACAGGGTATATTTTTAGACAAAGTTTCAAAAGATTATAGGCTGTAGTTAAAACTGAAGTTTTAAGGTGACAAGAGATTATCTTAGCAACCATATTACAGATTCTACATATGTTGAATTCTACTATGCTCTTCAACTTTCTTCTAACTTGATCAAAAATTTGGAGATTTATAACTAGTAAACCAAATAGATACCATTTCAAAACTATCATTGAACACTGTAAGTCATGCACTGAAGAAAATGGTTTTCTACCTCCACAGAAGGAATGAGCCCTGGGTAGCAAAGGAGTGAGGAAACCAGAACATGTTCCCACAAGGCTTTTGAAACAGGTATTTGGGAGAAGGAATTCCAACACCCTTGCACAGCAACTCTGTGGCTTACCTGAAGAAGCAGTGTTTTGTAGGATATTTTCAGGCCAAGCAGAATAGAGGCAGTTGATTATGAGGAATGCTACAGACACAGATGCTAGTAACATGAGCGCTAAGGACAGCAATAACATCTGACAAGGGCCCAGGGAACAGCACTGATCTCAAGACCCGACACATACTTAGCAAGTAAGAGGATGTCAGGCAGAGCTGCATAAAAGAAATGAAATGTACGAGAGAGTACAGAGCAGATACTCAACTTGATCCCAAAGCTCGCTCTTGAAAATGTGAAATGGAAACTTCTGCTCTACTTTGATTGGATAAAATTAATATGAAATTAGACTGACACACTATTAGAATTTGAGATATAATGTGATTCCTTTAAATTCCAAATTTGAATATTGTTAGTTTAGAAATAGGAAATGAAGCACAGTGTAATGGCACATACCTGTAATCACAAAACTAGAGGCGGAGGCAGGAGGATCTAGGCCAGTCTGGGCTACAAAGTGAGACCCTGTCACAAAACAGAACAAAACCAAACAGAACAAACCAACAAAAGAAATAGGAAATGGAATCAAACTGCCTGGCTTCCTACCCTGGCCTCCACTCCCTAGCTGTAGGACACAGGGTAAATTAAGCATGTCACTCATGTAGCTCCCCCTCAGCTAGTAACAGTCGGGGGTGCACAATGCAGTCTAAAGGAAAATGACAGGAGATACAAAGCCTGGAACCAGGCCCACAGTAAGCGAGCACTCAGAAAATGGCTCCTGTCATGGCAGGCACGGGGCACCAGCACAACTTCTCTCCCTCACACTGGGCTTGCTGCATGGTTTCAGACCACTGCTCCTGTTATCTCTTCTCTTTGAAATGCATGCACATATTCATCTCAGGTTCCTTTCCTAACTAATGTATTTGTCCTTAGGATAAAGTAATTATGAGTCACAAAATTGAACTCGACATGGAAAAGCAATTTCCATTCTTGGTTACCATTTCAACCCTGAGGCTGTCTTTAGGGACAAGCCCCTGTGACCACAAGTCAGGAATATAATGATCTGAATGCTAAACTCTAGCTAGGAATTGAAACAGAAATAAAAGGAATGTTCTCACCATTACTGTTCTAAACACTGACTTTCACTTCTGAGAGTTCTTAGATCTTTCTGTATAAATGCTTAGCTTCTGTCCATCTTTCCTGACATTTTCAAATGGGTTGTTTGAAAGCATCTTCAGATTGAATCTGTAACTCAGAATCCAGAATTCTGGATTTAAGCTCTCTACCACCCTAAAAATCTACTCTCTATATGAGCATTAACATGGCCTTTGAAAAGGGTACATTAGACCATGTTGCCTTGTTTCACATTGACCCACAGCTTCCCATGAACTAAGGCTACAACTCAATACCCTAATCATGACAACCTTGTCCTCTGTCCTCATTCTGACCACAAGTGCCATTTAGCAAACACTTTTTTGTTCTTTGATCGTATCCAACTTGGTCCTACCCCAGGGCCCTTGCATCTGCTGTTTACCTCTGTTTAATACATGCTCACCAATAGATTTTCATGCCTGACTTCTTTACAGTATTCAAATTCCAGCCCTGCTTGGTCTGAGAAAGTCTTGCCTGGCCTGCCTGGTCAAAAAGTAGCTCACTGCCTAGCTTTTATTATCTCCATGGCATTTTTCACTGTAAGAAAGTGCTTTGAGTGTTTGTGTATTGTTAATCCTTTCTATTTCACCCGAGGTCAGAATGTCACTATCTTATTCACAATCATTCATGAGAGAGTTGTCCAATACAGATTTGAGAAAAAATAGGTTAATGAATGAGTAAATCTGGTTTGATTTTCATTTGCAGATCACTTAATTTCTTCAACATGTTTGTACATACATTTTCCCTCCTTGGAAAGATTTTTGCACATGTAATAATCCCTGTTCACTAATTTTGCCTGGTACCAGGCAATCTCTGATTTACAAGTTTCTATCAAGGTAATCACAGGTAAGTTTTCTTTTATTATATCTTTGCAGATTGTTTCTGCTATCTTTATTGTGGAATTTCCTTTTAAAAAGTGCTGATTACAGGTATATACTGATCCCTTTCAAACTCTTAAATGTATTTCCACTCATTTGTTTTCCATCTGGTCAAAGAGTCCAAACTTGTAACAGCTTTACTTTAAAGTTCCCAGGACCTTCTCTGTCCCCATAACTTTTTACTGGTATTTTTCATGTAAGGCATGTAACTATAAAAATGGCAACTGCAAAACAGCCTGCTTATCCTTAGGATATTAGTTTTATTTCCTTGTTTATTGCCAATCTCTCTTCATATGAAGGATATGCAAGAGAAGAGATTTTGTTCTTGTTCACTATAGTATTACTGGAATCTAGAAGATTAGCCATATGCAGAATGAGTAAACTAATTAAAGAATTGGTATGAAGGAATCATGAAATGAATGTGGTTGTAAAAGAGAGAGAAAGAGAGATGGGACAGAGAGAGAGACAGAGAGACAGAGAGAGAGGAATACTTGTATCTCTTTTTAAAACACAGTACTTATCCTATCTCTGGGAATTTAGTGACAGTAATACAATGAGAAAAATCTATATATTATTAAAGAACTGCTGTATTAACTCATAATCAAGCAGCTAATGGGCTGCAAGGCTCACTTTAAAACAAAGCTGCTCTGGGTATTTAATGTGTATACAACACTTTTTTTTAATTGTTGATATTAATTTGGGACATAAAGGTAAACTTCAGAAGCAAACTTCATGGCTTGAATTTGATGTGGTTATGTCTGCAGTCCAAAAGCTTCTTCAGTTTTTAAAATAATACTAATATCACAGCTGAATAACAGAATCTCTTCAAATTAAGAAACTATTTATTTTAAAATGTTTCTCTTTCATTGTACGCCAGTAAAGAGAGGGCAAGAGCCATGGCAATGTTGAAAAAACATTTGTTTACTTATATGAACCAAACTCGGGACCATTTTCTGACTAGTGGATGTTTCAGGACATAGTACACTATATGGCATATATTTTACACTATATAAAGAGTGTTAGAAAAAAGTTCTTAGTGAAAGTGAACAAGGTGGACAGTGACCTTTGATTGATCTATGCCAGTTCAATCCTAAATTCCAAAAGAGCTAAACCTATACACAGCTTCTTTTGGAACCAAAATCATCATGAATATATGAACATGCAATTGACAATAGGAATATTTTCCTTAAATTTATTTTAAAATCTAATATTTGTCCCAGAGAAAAGAGTATTAGTATGTCAATATACACTGGGGATGTGATTTATGCAAAACTTTCTTGCTTCTAGATAATTTCATGTTCTCGTCCCCGTTCTCCACTGTTGTATAACAAAACAAATCTTATGACTATTTCTCATTAACTGGAAGTCTAAGCATGAATACCGTCTTTCTTTACGAGAAAAACGGGTAAATCTACCTTAACAAATTTATCAGTATTTCATTTCAGTGGATCTTATTGTTTAAAAGTTATAAACTGATTAAAATATTTCAAATTAATCATCAATTTATGAAAAAGTTTAATTACTGTCTTTTTACCATTATTCTCAAAATCTTGTGTTCAGACAATCTTTAAATTTCGTAGAACATAAATGGAACAAAGGACGGAACTGAAAAGATATCTCTGTGATACAAGAGTAATTGAAATAAAATTTGGTGACAGGAGCTACGACTGAGATTGCGAGAAAGGAAGGGCGTCGCTGACGCAGTCCACTTGCTCGCTTCGTGAGGTGAGTGCTCCTAACTGGAAGCAGTGACTTTATAACTTACCTCTGCATACTTGAGCTTCAATGTTTTATGCATTTCTCGAAAACGACTATAGCGCCTGAACACAGTCCATGTCTCATCTAGGACAGAAATCTATTAAGTAAGAAAGCAAAAATGAGTCAGCATTAATTATAAGAAAAAGGAACTAAAATTTAAAAAAAATTTAAAAATTAAAAGTGATTAGCATGTAAAATATCTCCACAATTGAAAACATTAATCTAGCTGTATAAATATGACTTATAAATAGTAATTGTGCTCTATTAAACAGGCATCTTCAGCTCCTAAGTCTTATAAGCAGTGCCTTTGTAAAGCAAGGGGTAGAAGGCTACCTCTCTTAATTGGTTACAAAAAGTGTCCCTTAATGGGCCAGTAAGATGGCTCAGTGGGTAAGGTACCAGGCACTAAATCTGATGACCTGAGTTCTGTAACTCAAAACACATGGTGGAAGGAGAGAAGTGATTGCTGAAAGCTGTCCTCTGACCTCCACATTTATGCTAACGCACACACACACATACATACATACACACACACACACGCACACACACACACACATGCACACACACACATACATACATACATACACACACACACACATGCACACACACACATACATACATACACACACACACACGCACACACACATGCACACACACACACATACATACATACATACACACACACACACATGCACACACACACACACACACACATATGTTCTCCTTAGCTTGTAGAAGGGAAATCCCACAGGATGCTATTTTTGGTATAGAGGTGTGTCCACAGAAATGCTCAGTGTGGCTCACCAGAGGCCACCACAGTGGACAGGAGGGAAATAAGACAAAAGAAGGAGAATCAGAGACAAGAGGGGACGAGAAGGGGGAGAAGGACAGGGAGAAGGACAGAGAGAAGAAACAGAAAGGAGGAAGCATGTCTCAGTGTCTCTCTCATTGCTAGTATAAATGCACAAATACTTATCTTGCCTTTCTCCAGAGGGAGACCTTTTGACCCAGACTTTACCTGTTTGCCTGGGAAAAAACCTCTATGTTGCATCACAGCAACCAGGAGCTGACGCTCCGCACCAAATCTACAAACACACCTGAAACATAACCATGAGCCTTGAGTTCTCAGCTCTCCTTGCCACTATTCTGAGCTCTAGACCCACAGGCCCAAGGTGGAGACATACTTCTTTGAATATCACACTGGAACTTTCAGTTCGACTTGGCATTCTCCTATCTCAACACAAAGCAGTACCACCTACCACACCAGGCCAAGCAGAGATGCTGCAGCTACCCTCCGCTGCCCTTCTAATAGCCCAATATCTAAACAAGGCACTGGATCCTGCTCGCACCCCCTAAACACTTCTGAACACTCAGTCCTTCCATCCACTTTACTCTTCGCCACAGGGTCTCATGTGGGTTTTGGCAGGGACTCACTCAGGCTCCTCCCACTCCCTTCACTGCCTGTCAGGGGAGCTTCGTAATATTCAAACCTGCTCATTCCAGCTCCCTCTTTACAAGCCCCCAACAGCTTCACTCTGCTACTAGAAAAGCACCTAAACTTTACACTAGCACCTGCTGCCGGTTGCCATCTCACTGTAGGCCCCTATCCAGTTGGTGTCTTCTCTTCTGCTGCACGGCCCCTGCAATGAAGACACATACCTCACCTCTGGGCATTTGCGTGCCCAGTGTCCCTCTGTGGGAAGCCTTCCCTGAACATTGGAGAGACTTGCTGGTAAAGCACAGGAGCACTGACAGGAAAGGAGAAGCAACAGTGGGAGGATGCCCAGAGGATCCAGTTTTCCAGACTGGCAAATAAGATGCTGTGGGGGCTGAATAATGATGCACATTTTCTATTTTTACCATTCTGCCCCTGTGTTTGTTTTCTTATAATAACTTTTTAATTGAGGCAAGTTTCTTTTCATGAGTTTCCTTAAAAAAAAAAGAAAAGAGATTTCCATAAAACACAGAAGCAAGTCATTAGGTAAATGACAGTGCAGGTGCTGTGCAGCTGGGGCCCACTTTTGAGGCCAGTATGCTAATCATGCAAGCTGAGGGAACACAGTTCCTGGCAGTCAGGAGGGCCTTCCACTCCAGATCCCTCCCCGAAAGACCCCTATATGATGGGGATACAGGGGACAGGGCCAGCACAAGCAGCAAAGTGAACAGGGCTTCCTCAACATTGCATGGCCTTAGGTGAACAGGAATCAGGTGTCCAAGAGAGTCGCGCACACGTGTGTGCGTGTGCATGTACGTGTGTGTGTGTGTGTGTGTGTGTGTGTGTGGCGGGGGGCTGGGAGGGTACGCTTATCATCTTCCCACATGGCTGGTATGGCATGTTACCAGGAAAGTCCAGAGAATTATTGGGATCACACTGGTGAGCGAGAAGGAGAAAAACGCAGGTCTCGGAGGAAAGGCCCTGCTGTGTTGACATGGAGAGTCATCAGAAGTAACCTAGGTTTCCCTCTTAACTTAGAGTCCAGTGCCCTCAGCTCTTTCCTTTGCCTGGGAGCTTTCCACCTCCTGCTTCCAGCAGGCATATCCCTTCATCTCTGTCCTGCCTGAAAGGATGACTCCCATGCATAACAGTCCCAAAAGCCCTCTCAAGTAGAAGCCATCAGAACACTCCCACCACCTTGACCAGGTCTATTTATCTGCCACCATCTGTCCTGAACCTCATCTGTTTCCTATGCCCAGGCAGCAAGGCCTCTAGAACACTGAACTGCAGCCACTTTTGCTTCCTGAAAAACACTTCTGCTCTCCTCTATTATACCAATGTATTTCCTCTGTCACATTATTATCATAAGCATCTAAACAGGATGTCATTTCTGTCACCTTAAACTCCCATTTTGATCTTCCTTTCCAGCTAGCCCTCCACATTGTCTTTTCCATAAAAAAATTCTTTAAAAAAGTTTTTCTATGATGTCATCAATTTATTCTCATTTTCCCTTGAATTCACACTAAAATACTGTTCTACCATGGTCATTAACAACCTCCATGTTGCTAACCCCACAGGTTAATTCTCTCTCTTGCCTCACGTCATCTTCCAGTAAGAACCTGACAAGTGGCTAGCTCTCTCCTCCTGCTCATAACTTTTTCACATGGCTTCTGGGTTGCTACTTGCCTTTTATCTTACTTCTCTTTGCTGGGATTTCCCATCTCCCTGACCTCCAACCATCAAATGCTCCAGGGTTTCACCCCTGAACAGGTTTTATTTTCTACTTGTACCTACCACTTCAGTAATTGCACTGCTCAAATTTGCATGCTCTGATACCCTGGGCGCCCGTTTCTCCTCTAACCCTATACTCATATATCCCATTGCTTACTTGGATGCCCAATATGCACCTCAAATTTAACAACGTACACTTACCAAAATTAATCTTACCCAAACTTCAGTTTCTTCCCCATTCAGTAAATGGCATTCTGCTCATTCAATCCCAAACTAGTATCACCCTTAATGTTCCTCTTTTTTATACTTTATATCCAGCCAGTCAAGAAGCTCTTCTAAATATTCAGATATGAATCTGGTCACTTTTCATCAGGTCCATCATCTTTGCCTAGATTTTTTTTTTTTTTTGGTCTTTTTGAGACAGGGTCTCCCTGTAGCACCAGCAGTCCTGGAACTCACTATGTAGACCAGGCTGGCCTTGAACTCACAGAGATCTGCCTGCCTCTGCCTCCCGAGTGCTGGAATTAAAGGTGTGTACCACCACGCCCGGCTATTTTTTTAAACAGTTTTTAACAATAGTCCCTTATCTCCTCTCTTCTCTTTCCATTCTTTTGTCAAAGGGGTCTTGTTAAACACTAAATCAGAGGAGATGATTTCTTCGCTCAAATGGAACATCTGCCCAACGTGTCAGGTACAAGCTCAAGCTCCTTCATCAATCTACAAGGAGCTCTATGATCTCATTTCCTCCTTGGCTTCATCTACAATCACTCTGACGCTTGCTCATCTGGACTCCCGGCTTATCCAGACCACGTCAAACATGCACACTGCAGGTACAGCCTCAGGGATGCTGTGTGTAGTTTGTCCTCTTTCTGGAATGCTTGTTCCCTAACTGTTCACACAAACAGTTCCCTTGTTTCCTTCAAGCCTTTGCTCAAAAGCCACTTTCGTGGTGCCCACCATGGATGGCCTGTCTAAACTTGTCCTCCCTCTTTTCATACTACTTTCTTCTCACTTTTCCCTTTTCCTTTTTGGACTCAGCAACATCTGATTATGAAACACGGCATATATTTATCTGGGTTTTGGTCTCTCTTCTTCACTAGAATATGAGTTCCAGGAAAACTGGACTTTTAATCTATTGGTCCTGGTCCCTTGAAAGAGTATGTGACACATAACAGGTATTCTAAAGAATAGTTAGAAGACCAAGCCCAAGATAGACTGGTTTTAAAAATACTTCAGAGGCTGGAGAGATGGCTCAGTGGTTAAGAGTACTGGCTGCTTTTGTAGAGGACCTGGGTTTGGTTCCCAGCACCCACACAGTGGCTAAAACAGTCCATAACTCCAGTTCCAGGGGATCTCATGCCTTCTTCTGACCTCAGTGGGCATTGCATGACACGGGTGCACTTACATACATGTAGGCAATACATTCATACACATAATAAAAATTATAAAATATTTTAAAAAAATACTTCAGCTTTTAGTGACTTTGAAATAGAATACGTTACAAAAATTCTCCAGGGAAAAAAGGCCTTTAAAAGACTCATACAAAATTAGGATGAGGCAAACTGGACACCAAGCTTGTGGGACTCTGGTCTACAGTTTCCTCCTCATGAGTTTTCACAGCTCATGAACACTGGACATCTTCTTGAAATCTCTGGTAAGTGAATGGCACATCACAATTGTGGGTATCATTCTTCTTACCCACAGTAACCCTAGGACAACTCCTTCCTAGAGGATACCAGTTTCTCTAACTGCATGTGGCCAATACTGAGAAGGCCACAGCACAGCTAGACAATCTCTTGGGCAGTAGACGTCAATACCATTGGGTATAAGATGACAAGGGAGCAAAAGGAAGATAAAAATCCTTTCTTAAGGGTCCATCCCCAAAGCAGCTTTCGTGCTTATACCAGAAGGAACGGTGCTTCCGTGGTATG